ATATTAATATCTACTTTTTGGTATTTGTATGCATTGAATTAATCTTATTGGACGGCTAGTTATTTATATGTTTTTGAATTGGGCTACGTTAATTTGTAAAAGTTACGAATGAAATGTCATTAGTTGTATTTATGTAGTGTTGCTGAAAATATTAAAAAATTTAATTATGGTACGGAACCGAACCGAACGGAACCGAACCCGAACGGTTCCATAATTATATTTGGACCCAGACGGGTCCATTTATTAAATACCCGAAAGTTTTGGGTCGGTTCGGGTCTCTTCAGAATCGAACCGAACCGATCCAAAAACAACCCTAATTGCTTACCTTTAATGCTGGATTTTTTTAAAGTTAGAAGTTAGATAATGACTTAAGCGTGGTTAAATTAGGCATGACATATACGTTTCTTTGATTTAAACTTAAAAAGTGAGATAATATTTAATAACTTAGACAAATCGACTCCTAATCCAACCAAACTTGGACCAAATCCTAACTTCCCATATTGATTTTTCAATTCGAATAATGCGTGAAGACTACTGATAGTCGCTTTACGTGACATACAAATGACAGTTTATTATTTAACACACGAGTCAATAAAAAAAAATCATAGTAATACATTAAATAATAAACTGTCATATGTACATCATGTATGGCGACTACCAGGTAGTCTTTACTATGAATAACATTAATTCTCCTGTATGGTTTGAGATCGAGACGGTTAGTTTGTAGTCCACTAGTGTCAAAAGTAATGAATATACATATTTAATTGTTTCCTTTTGCATCACCTATTGAAAACTCATTCCCTGTCATTGATTACTTTGGGGAGTGTATTTAATTCAAACTTTTAAACACTTTTATGGACTTTTTTTAAGTGATGACTTTCATAGATTTCGTGGATTTTTTACAAATTTGTATAGAATTAGTGGAAGTTTTTTATAAACTTATAAACTTTCATTTTAAAATTTTTAGAGACTTTTGAATACTTTCATTTGAAATAGAATTTATGTGAATCTAGTGCAATATTGTGAATTATCACATACGAGATGATGGTTCTCATAATTCCACCTCTCTTTCCTTTTCCTCCCATATAATAAAAAATATTTTTAAAAGAATAAAAATTTAAGACCTTATTTAAAAAAAGGAAAAATTGCAACCGCGCTCCCAAACCCTTTCTTTTTTGTAGACTTTACCTCAACCTTTTGAAGACTTTTTTTCAATACAAATCTCTAAATATCCACGAAATCTACAAAAGTCATCACTTAAAAAAAGTCCATAAAAGTCTTTAAAAGTCTGAATTGAATACAACCCCCTAAAAGTTATAAAAATTTGAATACCTCAAAACTTATAGAGACTTTTAAAAAGTTTTAATTGAATACACCGTGACTTTTAGAGATTTTTTAAAAGTTTATAAAAGTCTCAATTGAATACACCAATACTTTTAGAGAGTCTCCAAGAGTCTACATTGAATACTCCTAAACTTTTTAAATCTCAAAAAGTCATTAAAAATTTCAATTGAATACACCCTCTTAGTTACTTATTGTGTCCCGAGTACCACGTAATTACTTGCTTAAAATTTTAATTTGAAAGTCCACATTTTTATCTCAATTTCCATTTATAACTTTAGACAGCTGTTTGTTGGCTTTGAATACAATATTATTTTTGTAATTTTCACTTTTGTTTTCAATTGTAAAACATCTTTAATTTTTCTGTATATAGTTTGTCGATTAGCTACTCAGTATTCATTAAGAACCAACGAATTTTTATTTCTTGAACTTACGAGTATTCGCAGAGTCAACAAGTTTTAAACTTGTTCACGCTCTCACTACGTCATGATGTCTTTGTTAAAATAATTTATACGAGTATGTTTACGTGAAATTTGCACTAGACGTCGGAAAATCATGAGCAAATTATACAGTTTGCAAAATTAAAAAAAAAATGTCTACATAGTCTCGAGCAAACTTTGTGCCAAGCGAAAAGTGGAAAATAGAACTACCAATGCATCTCTCATAATTTATTTTCTTCAATTAAAATAAAATGTAATAATTAACATTAGAAATCATCTTTTAACTTGTATTGGTATGGATGGTCAGATCAGATGGAAACTCCAAGTCAGCCCTTCAATGGAAAGAATCAAAGATGGAGTAATAGCCAATCAAGAGAGGAAGAGATATTATAGTGCCAAAAATAACCCTGAAATAAAACAATAGTTAACATTATACATACATTTATAGATATAAATAACAAAACTTTGTTCCATAATTATTTTATAAGCAACTTACGCAGTACTAAGTAATTCTGAGTGCAGTCCATACTGTTGAGCAAAAACAAAGGACGCGATCGACTGTGGCAGTGCCGCCTTCAACAACAGGATAAACGGTAATTCATTTTCAACATATTTTCCAAAAATTCTAGACGAGTCAAATTGTAACATGTACGTACCTGAATGATTGCTACATATAAAATGTGGCCACGCAGGCCTAATGCAAAACAACCAATAGCCATACTCATTGGTCCACCAACAAACCTCAATACCATCCCCAACAACGTTAGACGGACACCACAGGCAATCACTTTCTCTTGCAATGCCATAAAAAGACCTGCACGTTATTTACACAGATGTGAAATAGAACCAATACCCGGAAATCTTCGAGAATAAGAGGAGCATAGCAACAAGGGATTGCATGGAAAAAAGAGACTTTGCTCAAGAAATGCACATTATTTACAAATATGATGAATCATTATATACATAAATACATACCCATAGAGAACATGGCAACAGCACCCCCAGCCCTTGACATAATCAATATGGATCCTTCAAGAATGGAGGGCATCTGAAAATGCCACCTAAAAGAGTGCAACCAATACAGAAAGTTGAATTTTTCTTTGAGATAAACTGGAAAATTTTGTTGATAATTAATTATTTGATAATCTATATTCATTTTTGTATATACCTCTTAGCGAAAAGAGCCCAGATGATGCCAAGAAAACATGCATAGGAATTTGGGTTCTTAGCAAGTTTACTCCATACCGTCTTCATCAAAGGTAAGAAAGATGGTGCTTTACTCACAATAGAATTTGTGTTCTCGTCCACAGTATCACGATCATTTCTCCCCATTTCAATCGATGACAAATTCACTTGCCGATCATCTAAGGCCGGGGCTGTCGAGATAACTGATGTATCACACCTCGTACGTCTGAATTCCAACATGAATAAAAGAGCAGGGATCCAAAAAAGAGACTGTATAACTGACGACTGGATAACAAGATCAGCTCCCATTTGACCATACATGGCTTTCAATAGTGGAACTCCGACAACAAGAGTGTTATTGAGACTTGATAAAGAGAAGCATGTTACAGACCAATCATACTTCCCCTTCCTACTCAAATTAGCCCACAAAGCTAAAACAATGCCGATAATGACTTTAGCTATAACATCAGCGGCAATGAAGAGAAAATTCATCTTATAAGGATTGACATGTGCTGTGAACTCGAAGGTGAAAAATGGCATTATGAAATAGCAATTGAAGCGGTTTATAGCATCACAATGGTCTGGTTTAAACATATGCCACCACCTTATGGAGCCGTAGCCTAACGCCAGTGCTGCGTAAAATGGCACCATGGCCACCACTATTTTGTAAATATCTTCCCACGCTATCATTTTTGGATTTTATTTTTGCAGAATAGCTGATGAATGTAGATTTCAGAATATATGAAAAGTTTTCTTGTGCACGTATGTGTATATATAGTAAAGTCCGGCCAAGTTAATTGTACAGTCATCTTGTTGAGTTCCACTAATTTATGCTATGTTTGGTACCAATTCTCATTTTCAACCACACATTCTTCAATAAAATAATTTTTTCTATCACATCAATAATCTTATCTTCTTTTTCAACCACACATTTCCCATTATATCACTATTCAAAATCAATTCTTCCCCCAAAAAATCCCTACCAAACACACACTTAAAGTGTTGTGCCCCAAAAAGAATGCAGCTTAGTCACTTGGTATAACTAGGGACCCACGCGTTTGAAGGAGGACAAGTCAAATCAATGCTAAAACAATGAGTACCATGTCGTGAAGATGAGGCATCGCCCGAGCAGATAAGCTGGACTGCGATCGACAATTAGGAGTGGAGCCCGGGCTCGATTAAAAAGGTGTTTTTTTTTTAATGCTGGACTGATATTTAGAAGAAAGATTTCGTATAAAAATTTATTTTTCGCATATAAAAATGACTTTTGGACCATAAAAATCAAATTGGGTCGGTATATCATGTATTCGACTTATTTGTGAAGTTTTAGATCAATTTGAAATTTTCTCAATTGATCAAGCATTAAAGTGCAAAAACTGAAAAATGTGTTTTCGAGTATAGAAAAATGACAATTTCATTCAATTAGGGTGCGTTTGATTGCAATGGTGAAAAATTGGTGGAAAGAAAATATTTTACAGGGAAAATAATTGCCTAAAAAATATTTTGCAGAAAATTGTTAATTAAGTGTGTTTGATTGGTATAATTTTCTATCCGAAATTTTTTTAAATTTTCTATTCGTTTGGCTTTGTTTTACATGGAAAGTGTCTATCAAAGTGATAATTTTTTCCACAATTGGTTGTAAAATTTGTTTCCATTGCTAAAAAGAGAAAAAAAAAAATTGTTTCCTAAAAAATTATTTTTTTTCATCAATGTTTAGGGAGTGTTCGATAGCATGGAAAATGGGTGGAAAAAGAAAACATTTTCCAACTTTTCATGAATTGTGGTGTTTGATGGTGTTCGTTTGACTTTGTTTTACATGAAAATTGTCCATTAAAGTGAATTTTTTTTTTTTTTATCATTGGTTATGACATTTGTTTCCATTGCTAAAAAAAAAATTGCAGCCAGCCTCAAAAACCCGGAAAATGCACACGTGTGGGCGAAACCAGGAAAATATTTTCCGTGAAAAATTTTACCTATTAAACAGCCAAAAAAGTGAAGAGTGGAAAATATTTTCCTAATTCCTTGAAAAATAACGCCTATCAAACGGGGCCTCATAGTCAATTACGACAACTTATTGCTTAACTAATTAACTGACTTAAGCAAAAGCTCCAACCTCTTAAAACCCCAAAATTGGTGAACATATATGCTAGGGGTGGATTTATACTAAAGTGGACTTAATCCAACTGGACTAAGCCCCTATTTGGTATCGATTAAATTCTAAATTTTAATATAAATCAAAGTCAACAATTCATTTCAACAACATATTTTATGAGTCTCACAACTTCTTAATCACACGTGTCCTCATCTTTTATACAAAAATTACTAAAAATCTGATTTTAATCTCTATCAAAAGTAGCATGAAAAATTAACCCCTAGTCAGATCAACAGAACTCGAACCAAACCCTAATCTCTCTCGATTCAACCCTAATGGCCAAACCCTACCCCCTTTTATATTCATCAAGTTTTGGCAATGCCTAGCAAGAGTGGAGAGAGAGAGGAGAAAGTTGCAAGATTCGTTCAAGTTTTGATAAAATATTTCTTATGTTAAAATTCAAGACTGCTCTCCAATTTAAAGTTTTTTCATAAAATATTTTGGCGTAATATCCAATGCATAATATTCTAAGTCGTCCGGATTCGGTCTTAACTCTGAGAGACTCTTAATGTGAAAATAATAATATAATATCTTACTAAGTGATGCAGATTTCCACTTACAAATTGCTAATAATGCTTCTCTTAGTCATACCATGTTGTTCTTTTTAATATTATATCTATACTGCGTACTGTAATTTGTGTTTCTTATGTTCTGGTTTTAATTGCTGTACATAATAGAAATTAACATACCACAAAAAGTAAATATTAAAAAATACAGTCAATCGTGCTCAAGATAGAGACGGAGAGAGAGAGAGAGAGAGAGATGAGTTTGCTTTTCTTTTTTAGTTACGTCACTTCTCGAGACACTTTCGCTCAAATTTGGGATATCAAGATAAAATTACTTAAAGAATAATGTTGTTTATCTTTAATGGAGATGATCATCTGTCTATATGGTAGTGGGTCATTGTCATCGTCGATAGAGATTAATAGAGTTATTCGTTGGTAGAGATTAATAGAGTTATTCTTTACTTAATCCACCTCAAATAGTGAGTTCGAAAGTGAAGAGAGGCTGAAAAGATGCTACAATCCATGTATGATCACATACCGGATGGCTAAATCGCATGAAATCTAATACTTTAGCTTTTACACTGTCCTCTCCGTCTTCGGATGAGATTAGTTTTGTTCTATTATACCTTTAGCTAGAGGAGTTAGGTCAAATCTCGTCCGATGTTTGTATTATATTATATTTTCATTATTAATAAAACTTCACCTAGAATAATTTAATTTAATTTTAAAAAATAAAAATAATAAAAAATCATACCATCTCTACTAGCTAATGATCCCACATTGGAGACTTTAGAAGTGCTATATGGGGATGATATCAAATTCCAATCCTAGCATTCCCTACAGACAAAGTTATGAGGTAGCTGTATCTCTCAAATAACAATTTCAACTCGTTTGTGAAAGAAGAAAAGTTTAGTATTTGTTCGTCTCGCCTTTATTGATTAAGTTATTCCCAGCCCACTAATGTAAAATGTTGTGGTGCTTCACACTGAGTACCTGATCAACGGACAGAATAGATTTGAGGGTTTCTTAAAGTATTTATTTTTATTTATAGCGTATAGAGACAACGAACTTTTAAGTACTTTTAAGCTTATTCTAACATCAACCTTAAAGGGTTGCTCAGTTGGTCAGACATTGTGTTTGCTCTCTAATAATCACCAGTTCGAGTCCCTTTGACGCCATTGAGGTGAGTATCCGATCGTAAACTTCAGGCCACGTGGGATTAGTCGAGGTGCGCCCAAATTGGTCCGGACATCCACGGTTATTAAAAAAAACTTATTCTAACATCCAAGAAAATTGATTTTAAGTTTATAATAATATGTTAAAACAATAAATAGAAGACACGAAGAAATTTAAATACCATGACACTATCGCAAATACTGTATCAGTCGACACATATTTATCATAATAACAGTGAAGGAAAAGATCTAATTCCCACTAAATAGACAACCCGTAGAAACATTGAGCATGTTATTCGGGAATCATAATCCTAGCTTTCATCCTAAATATATCCTTTTACCTCTGTCGTGAATATTCTATTAGTTGCTCGTCAATTCTAAATTTCTAATTATACCAAAAACCAATAACCTTTTGGCCTTTTATTTTCTAAAAAAATTTCGACAAAAATCCATATTTTCCTTCAGACTTGAGGGGCGGAAGAATTGGGCTTCTTTGTGCAATGCCGCCAGATTCGTTTCGAGAACGTCGATCATGTCAAGGACTTTTCTCGTCGTTTGAATTCTCTTAAAAAATACAAAAAGGGAGACAAACTCAACATCGTCTTCCTCCCATTCGATTACTGATGCACAAGTAATTTTGGACTTTAAACCCACAGCCTTAGCCACCATGCGAAATACACAAGTTTGACTCATGTCATTATTGAGGAAGAACCATGCTACAATGCCCGCGTGGTTGGCAGCGGGGATGACCGCACACACACAGGAGGGGGTCGAATTATTTTATTCGGGGATGGGACCTGCGTTGAGGTTGTGAGTGTGCGATCATCCCCGCAGTCACCGGCGCGAATCGTTTAGCATTACTCATTGAGGAATGTGCCTTAAAAAGCATTAATTCAGAAAAAGAATTTGAAATGTCTACAAGTACAAGTAGCTAGCTTTTGGGTCCGCACCAAAAGCCGAGGTCAACCAACTTAGCTAGCCTAACTGAACAAGTCAGGAGTGATCCCAACCCCTAATATATCCTATATGGTCACAGGTTGATTTTTGTCACTAATGTTATATATGAGCTAAACGATTTAAATTATAAACATATATGAATGAGTGGTGGATGAGAACTGAAAAATCGAATCCTAATCTCGCCGAACTTGGTCCAAACCTAACTTCCCCAAATTTGTGAAACTTTAATGGCAATTAATAGATCGTATATATGTTATTGCTAATAAATATATTAAGTCGCATTGACAAATTTTTGAAGAGTTTAAAGAGCAAGCTGCAATTTAGAAAAAAATGCGCATTCGGGATTCTGAGACCTGAAGTAGCATTTTGAGCACGACTCTAAAATTTAAACGTCGATATTCGAGGTTTAATGGCATTATTGTAATTTTTGACAAGTCTTGGAACTAATTTGTGATTTTACACTTTTCAATTGACTAAACCACAATTTTGGCAAATATATTTTTGTAGTATAAAAAATTTATAATTTGGGTTAATCATAAGTTGGTTGGAATTATAATTAATTTGGATTTTTGGGATGGTTAATGTTAATTTTTTGGGTCTGTAAAAGACTCCATTTGACAAATTTATAAATTAATTTATAAAAGAAAAAATAGTAATGAGTTCAGATAAATATGTGGATAATAATAAAAAATAGGTTTGAATGCACGATTAAAATTAATGTCAATGTCTGTATGAATTTAAAAATCAAATTATAAATTGTTTATGTGATTTTGCATATAATAAAGGGATAAGTACGCCAGCTGGTACCTTCATTTTTTAAAAGTCCAAAAGTACACTTATTTTTTAATTCTTTTATTTTTACCTTACATCTGTATAACACAATTTTAACTCTTCTCCTTTCTTGGAGTCCAACTTTTGTGCCTCCAATTGGACAAATTGTTGTCAATCACCAATTATTTCAGTTGAATTGAACTCAAATTACAATAGAGGTTTTAAACTCGAAACTTTTCTAGCCTAAACTTCTCAAATCCATCCAAATAGGGGTGTAAATGGACTGAGTCGACTTACAACCACGAGCTTGGTTTGTCCGAAGACCCAGGCCGAGGTCACACTCGTTTGGCAATGACTTAATATTCAGATTTATTTGCTTGTAATAAATTTCACACTTTCACATCAACAACAGAATTTTGTCCACATCACATTATAGACACTATTATGTATATATATTATGTACATGTAGACTTTTCATTTATATAATATTGAAGCCCAAAAATTGTTTTCATATTTTTGTTATTTTTTGATTGGCAGGCAAAGTTTTGCAATGACCACTGTCTTTTTGTGTTGAAATATGGCAAATTGTAAACATTCCTCTGTTACCACATCTTTTTTAATCACATTTTAACTGTATTAGAAGTCCCTAACTTTTATTTATTTTAATACTCATGCTTCCAAATTTTTCATTGCATTCTATTATCAATCTTCAATTATTTATCACATATTTGTTCTAAGGATGGTTTTGTCCAAAAATTATGTTAGTATATTTTAAAATAAGACAAAAAATATTTAACTGCAATTTTGTATTTGTTTTTTCCTTATTGAAAATTAAGATTAAAAAATAAGCCTTATTATATCCTTTATTGTGGACAAAATTTGCTAATTAATGAATTATGTATAATATATTAAATATTAAATCAAGTTAGAATTATTTTTTGGACGATTCTAGCCCTACTATAATTCAATTATTTCAATAATATCCTACTTTTTGTTTTTCAGTATACATTTAATTTATTTAACCATTTAGTTACCATCAATGTATATGTATATTTAATAAATTCATTTCACCTGTGTGCTTTTATTAATATATGAATTCTCTATTATTAATTTTTTTTAATTAACATTCATTTAATTAATGTTCTTCTTCATTTATGCGTCATTAATTCTAAATTAGAATTTCAGTTTCTATCAAAACCAATTGATAGAATTAGTTATATAACCTTATTGTACTCCTATAAACTCTCAAGTTTGTTACATGTAATACTCTATATATTGAAAATCAATAACAGTACATATAGTGAAAGAGCAACACAATTCAAACAATGTGTTATATCTCTTATACTAAATTTATTTTCTTTACATGGTAGCAAAATCCATTAAGTTTCAATTAGCAATTCGAACCGATTAAAACTCAAAAAAATAGGCACGTGGATTTCAAAATTCATTTGGGATGAAATCTCATATCGAATAAAAATAAAAACATAGACTAACTTATAAGAGCTTGTAAGTTAATTAGAATTTCACATTAAAAATGTATTTCATTATTCACGTCCATATATGCTAATTAACATTCAGTTTTACTTAATTGAAAATTAAATAAATAATGTAACATTCATTGTCGCATATATATTCTCTGGTTTAATTCTAAATTAATTAACATTCACAAATATTCAAATATTGCTTTTACAAAACTTACAAAGCACCTCATAATAACGTACAATGTACGTTCAACGTTGACAAGTTAATGATAAATATGCGAATGAGAAAATAGAGGACATAGATATGACAATAAGTAAACATTAGACACTTTAATGCAATTAAAATGTAGCTCACTTATAATGTAGTGCACTTAAAATAAATTGTAATGTCAATATAGCCACCCGACTAATAGGATAATGCAAACGTAAATTTGTAAAATATAGCATACAAATTGTAAATACACCCTAAGTGTAGGGTTTATTATGTAAATATCCCAAAAGAATATAATTACAACGCAAATGCACCTTATGTAAATGAACCAAAGTAACAGAAAAATGCATAATTTCATCTCTCATCCCCAAACTTTGTTTAAAGTTTGGCCATACAATTTATGACTAAAGACTGACTGAAACGACAGACGCAGGCTAATATGTTTTTAGGTATATGTTATTCTCAGAATCACTTCAATTTACACAACATTAAACATTTAAACTTCTCAAAACCTAGTAATACAACTTGTGTTTAAGTTGTAACATCAACAAGACAAATCAATGCCATGCAATGCATAAACAGACAAAACCATCCCAAAATTCCTACAGAAATATGGGCTGGCAAAAACTCAAGATGGCTGGCTTTCTGAAATGGCTGGAACCGGTTGTCTGGTAACTGCAGCCAAGATATCAGCATAACCTACGACGCCAACTAATATGTTGTCGTTTTCAGCCTCTGTAACCCAAACATGCGTTGCCCGGTGAGATAATATTTGAGCCATTACTGCTGCCAGCGAACTAGTAAATTTACACGTTAATGGTGCACTTCTACCCCGATACATGCTCCTACCAACCCCAAAACTTGAATTTGCCGCATTGCTAAAGAACCCAATACTTCTACTGCTGAATTTTTTTTGCCTGGTCGGGCTTCCTCCATTACCTAAATTCGAATCCCCGACCATTTGATTAAGCGCAATATCAGGAACTGATCTTGGTGTCAGGTTATCTTCCACCCCCATAACAAACTGTCCAGCAGAGAGATTGGCAAGAGCCCATGATGCAGCTAAGTAATCACATTTCCATAGTTTAGAGGCAGATATTTCACCGATGATGTTATATTGACCATCTGATGTTGGCTCCACAACAGCAACTGCACATGGATCATGGGGACGATTTTTGGTGGCATCAATGGCTGGGAAAGATGCTTCAATAGAGCAGTAGTTTGAATTGATGATTCCAAGGGAAGCAATTGAGGAAAGAGGTAAAGGAGCCAAGGCACCAAGGCAACCAATGATGAAACGTAGAATATCTTCTCTTGACAGACAACAATACTTGTCCAGAATGGTGGCATTGGAAGATGATGATGACGGAAGGTTAGTGTTGGCAATAAGGTTTGTGTTATTGCCACTAGAAGTGTCAATGTTCTTGAGCCATTTTCCATTGTAGAGAAATGAGAAGCGCTTGCTCATGCCTCTCCAGACTACGCTTTTGGGAACAAGGAGTCGCTTCACACCTTGCTTCATCATCTCCAGAGCATCTATCAATCTTATCCAAGAAACAAATATCAGAATTACAAGTACTATAAGGAACACTACAGCGAGAATGTAACAAATCCTAATTTAAGTCCCACGTCGCTGAGTTACGGCATGGCTTGTGGGGTTTTAAGCACTTTTGGCATTCTCCTTACAAGCCCACTTTGAGGGACAGTACTACCAATGCGCTTGTAACAGATAATAATGCCTCTTCGCCTTGTATACAAGGTAATTTGATGCAAACGTAATTCTCATATATTCCTTTCTTGTCACATGATCACGTTGAAATACATATAAAGATACTTGCATGGCATACCGGTCAGTATTCCAATATGATGTCATACATTTATGCCTTTTGTTAAAAGCACTTGAATGAACAAACATAAGCTTTAACACATGGAACAACAAAGGAATCCAAAAAAAAAAAAAAAGAAACATATATTTAATTGAAAAGGTAAATATCAGGAATTTACAATGCAATTAAAATTTTCAGCATGTGCATAAACAAAGATGGCTTTAAAGACCTCAAAGCTACCCATAGCAAGAGAAGGAAGGCAGTGACTGCCAATCTCTTTGACTATTTAAAAATGAAGAAAAGGGCTGAAAAGAGTTGAGAACAGTTCACATGTAAAAGGACAGAGGAGAAACAGATTAATGTTTGGAAGATCATTAGGCCTGAAAATTATAAAGCTTTCTAAATGATCATTCCAATTTCTTAAAAGTTAATTGAGTGCTTAAGTTCCATATTAGAGATTCTTACACATACTGGTTGCAGTGCTACACACTGATATGGATTATGGACAGTTATGCAAAATAATGGGCACTTAATGACTCCCCATTCCTGTCTCCATATGCCCCCAGAAATGTCCTTACCATTAGAGGTTAAAAAGATGCTTTCTTTTATGCATTTTCCTGCAAGTCAGTCAGGGCTCTCACAAGGGTCAGGAAAATGTAGAAATAATAGTAGACGATGTGAAGGCTGAAACGTGTCTTTGATTGTAAGGACACTTGCTAGCCTGGAAGAAAAGGGATAAGACAGGCAGTTAACCTCCTGAGGCTTAAAGCCTCGTTTCTTCATTTTCAAAGATTGGTGAGAGAGAATTAGAGAGGTTGATAGAAGAGCATCAGAGACATAATAACATTAAAAAAAGACTTCTAAAAGATCACAACCTTCATTTCAAAATCTTAACATCTGTAATCTATGGGGACATGTACAAATATGAAGAAAATGGAATAACCATATGAATCAAGCAATTATACTCGTGATGCACAAAAACCTTCTCTTGCCCATGTTCCAAACACATAGAATGCCCGTGTATTCACATTTTTCCCTTCTCTAGATATTATTTAAGTAAAAAGATAGAGCTCAGAAGCCGCTTCTGCTGCCAATGTAGCCGTCTTGTTAGAGGCAATATTTCCAGAAGAAATGTATATAATTTCCAAACTTTTATTTCTAAAGACTAGTTCTCCTAAGTAGGGAACCGGGAAGAAGTACAAAAATTTTAATAGAGTAAGTTCAGTTAATCAGTGCTATTACTACCCTAACAATGTGAAAACTAATACGATCATTAATAAGAGTGGAACATGACATACTAAGAAATATTAAAAAATTAAATGAAACGCTTAGAATAGCACTGCGACAGCTTCTTTACAGATGATGGCAAGCCCTTTATGCATGTTTTCTGTTCTTTCAGTAATCAAGATGCATTATTTTTAACATCCTTATTGCACCATCCCAACAATTACTTTTTGACTGATCCTTCACCATGTAGGATCTATTTGTTTGAATAAAATAACAGAACAGGGCAAAGAAAGAAATTGTAATAAAATCTCAATAGATATAGAAAGAATCTACGAAATTTTCTCATTTGTCCCAGCCCCACCCCAACACACACATTTTCTCTAAAACAAAAACAAAATTTAGTAAAGTTCAGTTTCAACCCCTTCTCTGAGAGGGAGAGGGAGAGGGGGGGGGGGGGG